AATCTTTTTTAAAAATTTATTAAAAAGAAAAAAAAAAAAAAAAAAACCTATTTATTTTTTAAAAAAAAAAAAAAAAAAAAAAGGCTAAAACCCTTTATTCATGCTCCATCAGAAAGCTGAGGGGAATCATCAGAATCACTCTCTGCATCAAGAGAGGCAGCTCATAAAAGAGATAGAAAACTCTATATACTCCAATATTAAACTCAGGTTTTAACCGAGTTGCGCTGTTTCAGACTTCTGAGTGTGTGAGATATAAAGGATGTTTTCTGAAGAACATCCTTTGGGAAATAATGGCATGAATTTTACACTGATGAATTTAACACCTTCGGGTGGCATTCATCAATAAAAAAGGCAACTGACTCGTATTTACAGAAACCTAAGATAAAAAATATGTAAGATTGGGCAGTAATTAAAAATGTTTCCTTTGTAAATATATGTAGCTTACATAATGTCCTGAAATATCTGACATCTTGAGTTTCCAATTATTCAAATGAGGGTAAATGAGTTTGGGATGACTGAAAATATAATGCTGCAAAATTAGACCTTGAATATACTCAGCATCCTCCCGTCATTAAGCTCCACCCACAAAATCCAGGGTGATACTAACAATACTTTTTCCACTTTTGAGAACTCTCTTCATGCCTAAAAAAGCATCCTGAAGCAGGAATACTTTTCCATGCACACATTTAACCAGAATTGTGTGTTAACGGTGCTGTGAACAACTTATCTTAATGGGCATAAAAATGCTTCTTTGACGGAGTCAGCGGCAAGCCTAACAATAGGTGTGGTACAGACCTCAAGACAATTCCCACTGCTGACATTATATTGTTTACAAGGATACATATCTGTCTCCACGCATTTATGCAGCAATAGCTCTGCCTGAGCTTGTCAAGAAGGAGGTTTTTAATGAATGTTTTGGTTGTTGATATTGCAGTCATGATGTGTAATTAAATCTAATTAAAACTACTGGGGTGTGTGCTCATATAGGTTTCTTCCTCTTTTTTTTTTTTCTTTTCCAGACTGAAAGTTTGTCAGTTTTAGAATCTTCTGAAAATAACACATCAGAGCTTCAGGTAAATATATATATATGTATTTTATATACTTGTATAAGTTCACAAAAAACATTGTCACATTTTAGTTAAATGTGACTGTCTGTTTTTGCTCTTTGGGATACAGAGCTCTGAGGAAAACACCTCCAACCAGGTGAGACATTTTGAAATTCAGAATTGTGCTTGATCCATGAAGAAAGTATATTTTGGATAATTGATGCCACATAACTCTAAAACATTTTTGAAATGATGTGCTATAAATGTGTCCTTTTATTTGTAAACAGAGTTCAGAATCTGAATCAGTAGAATCCACTTCAGAGGACAAGGTGTGTTGGTCAATCATTCATATTCACTGTCATCCATTCCCTCAATGTTGTCTAGGTTTCATACATTTAGAGTTAAAAGAAAAGTGCATACCTCAAATCTTGGTAAATGAGCCAGAGAAACAACAAATGAAACTATATAAAGAATCT